CCATCTAAAGATAGCTAGATAGATAGTTAATACCATCTAAAGAATTAAACAATATTTCCATGAATGTAAAAGACATTTTGAAGCGCGCACATAATCATCAAGACATAAATTGAGAATTCATTATTTATAGTAAAGAAAAAATTTCAAAGTCAATGTAGAGGTATTTATTATTTAACATGTCAAGTAGTTTTTTAGGGACAGAGTTGTATTATTTAACATGTCTAGTAGTTTTTAGGGACAGAGTTGTATTATTTAACATGTTTAGTAGTTTTTAGGGACAGAGTTGTATTATTTAACATGTTTAGTAGTTTTTAGGGACAGAGTTGTATTATTTAACATGTCTATAGTAGTTTTTAGGGGCAGAGTTGTATTATTTAAAAGATATTTACGGTAAAACTTGGCGGTTTCCATGGTTGGAGGAGGGGGTATATTCGCAGCTTAAAAGATAGGGGAGGGAATCCTTGTATTTCTAAAATTTATTTATCTAATGAAAAGAGAAATTTATTTTGTAATTAATCCTAATTAATGAATTTTCTTACCTCAGTTTTTAACAGACTGTTCAACTTATTAGTTTGGTAAATAATGATTTTTCTTCTGAGTTAATACAATACTAAGCAGAAGAACTGAGGGATAACAACGGATGAAAAAAGGGCAGAAAAGGATTTGTTTGAAGGGAAAACCGTTAACTGTCAATATATTTAAAATATTGTAATCAATCCAGTGGATGCGGGGGGTGGGGGGGTGTACAATTATATTATTTACTTGTTTACTTGATGTGTAGACTGCAGAAGACCCTCGTCCATCAGACTTCAGTTTAGTTTCCTCTCGGAACAGTCTTCTACTATACAGAAGACAGGTTAGGGAGTTTCAAAAAACACTGGTCCTGGCCCGGCACAAGGTTTAGATAATTAGTTTCTCCAAACCTGCTTTAAAGATGTTCAGTACACGTGAATCTTTTAAATCCTGTGGTATGGAGTTCCAGAGTGTGACAATTTTGTTTGAGAAATGCTCTCTTAAATCTGTCCTGGATCTTGATGCTATGAGGTTATTTCTGTACGCTGTGTTACGGGACAATCTTAAGTTTTGGTCTGCAATGTGGTGAACATTATGGTTGATTCTACTTTATCAACACCCCTAATTATTTTTAAAGTTTGGACTAGATCAAGGCGTCGCTTCTAATGTTCTCATTTCCAGTTCGTGTTCTCTTTCACAGTAGCAGGGAATGGTAAATATAATTAAACCAGAGATAAGAAAGTTACAGAGATCGATTAACACCTTTAATATGCGATATTTTCCACAGCATGTTCTATTGTGTACAATCAGGAAGACATCTATATTCAGGGATATTTAAGGATCCTTTGAATAGGAAATGCAAAATCTTTAAAAATAGACAATATTCATAAACGTTATGTTTTATGTTTAAAATTAGAGTATTTCTTTAACAGTTGTAAAACTTAACCCCTGAATGCTGCAGTTGCCGTGAGATGTCATTCAAAAAACATTACATGGAACCGTATCATGGCTCAGCCTATCCAGGTAGAGTGCATGAGCAGTCTCTAGAGTCTCATTCTTTGTGGGTAACTCTATAGTCAGATATTCTATAGTAAGATATCTGCACAAGAAATCTCTTCCCCCCCCCCCCTCACCCCACGTTCAGTTTGGTATGGTCGTCGCGCGGTGGTTTGAATGTATATAAAGAGATTTAATCTGATAAGAGTTATGTTATTATTTTGATACCGAATGGCTCCTGAGAGAAGACCAGGAGCAGTAAATAAAGAAGGAACGTCAGAAATATCAAATAGAAAAGAGGTGGTTCAAAGGAAAAGACAAGAGGATTACATTTCAAGTAAGAATAAAATGATAACTCCTCTGATTAAAAAGCGGTCGAGTCTCGAGAACTACAAAATGTTTTGTATTTTATAAAATTGAATTATAGACAACTTTGCTCTTCTCATAGTTGTGTCTATAATATTAAAACTAGAAGAGATGCGAGGTCACAAAGTCATACCAGTAACGTCACATAAACTTTACCTTCTCCTTCTAGTTTGCAGTTAGTGTGAAATAGGTGTTCTATAGATGTGTGTTTTATGTCAGGGGAAAAAAGAGAAATTGTAAGGAAAGTGTTGTAAAGTTTTAGAAAAGGAAAGAGGTTGAAGGGAAGTAAAGATCCGTATGTATGTAGAGGAAGGGGTGAAGGGAAGTAAAGGTCCATATGTATGAAAAGGAAAGAGGGTGAAGGGAAGTAAAGGTCCGTATTTATGTAGAGGAAGGGGTGATGAAGGGAAGTAAAGATCCGTATGTATGAAAAGGAAAGAGGGTGAAGGGAAGTAAAGATCCATATGTGTAGAAAAGGAAATAGGGTGAAGGGAAGTAAAGGTCCGTATGTAGAGCAAGGGGTGATGAAGGGAAGTAAAGATCCTTATGTATGAAAAGGAAAGGGGGTGAAGGGAAGGATAAGTTTTTTATATAAGAAGATGAACAATACTTTAAAATTATAAAGGTGTGAGAAGACATGACAAATTCTTTTCTGAAAATCTCAATCAACAAAACCCTGGAACACACTCAACAATGGGAATTCAATATTTCTAAACATCATTCACTGTAATAAGCTCTTAAAAGGATAGTTTTTGTTAAGGGCACAACTAGGTCTCATTTTATTCTTGTCCACCATTTAATATTTAAATTGAAATTTTGGATAAAAAGTTTCCTTTAAAAGGGACTGTATTAGATGTAATTTCAATTTTAACCCTCCAATTATAGAGACCTAGAAAATTTGAAAAAAAAACATCTAAAACTTGACACCGCTAACTGTTTAGATCAGCAAAACTAAAATTCTTTTTCACGTTCCGATTCTAATTTTATTCTATTTCACGTTCCGATTCTAATTTTGTTCTTTTTCACGTTCCGATTCTAATTGTATTCTTTTTCACGTCCCGATTCTAATTTTATTCTTTTTCACGTTCCGATTCTAATTTTGTTCTTTTTCACGTTCCGATTCTAATTTTATTCTATTTCACGTTCCGATTCTAATTTTGTTCTTTTTCACGTTCCGATTCTAATTGTATTCTTTTTCACGTCCCGATTCTAATTTTATTCTTTTTCACGTTCCGATTCTATTTTTTTTCTTTTTCACGTTCCGATTCTAATTTTGTTCTTTTTCACGTTCCGATTCTAATTTTGTTCTCTTTCACGTTCCGATTCTAATTTTATTCTTTTTCACGCCCCGATTCTAATTTTTTTCTTTTTCACGCCCCGATTCTAATTTTTAATAAATATTGAGATCAAGTGGTTAACACATCCCTACTCTGGTCTTTATCTGAAGATTGCTTCCGGTTCTGATCTTAAACAGACACACTTCTCAACCCCCTTCCCGCCATGAAGTGTTGTCCCCCTGTCCGCGGCTCTCTTTCTAAAAGTAAGAGGACCTTTATTTTGTTATATTTTCAAACTAAGAGGGGGGGGGGAAGGGGGGTGTTAGGTTTTATAAGGCTTTGGTAGCTTTAACAGCAAAAAAAGGGGTAATCTGCATTTCTTTCCCTTACATTACCTTTATAAGTTAGTATGTCCCCTTTTATATTGCACAACATTTTAGGTCTATGAGTCTAAAAAAGCCCCCTGGGATACTAAAGCGGGTAGAATGTCTCTGAAAAAGGTGAGAGAAACGGTTGTGTGCAGATTATCCCGTAGTTAGACTTAATACGGTTTAAAACGTGACCTAATACAATATATCTACAGGCATATCTTACAGGCGCAACTAGAACTTTTCCTATGGGGAGGGCCCCGCGAGGGCGTCAAATTCTTAGGTTCCCCACAACACCAACAGGGTTTAAAACGATAACCTTGGCTGCAAATTTAAGTGCGGGCGTAATTTCCATTGATAGAGTGGTTGTGTTCGATTCACAACGGTACCCTTAACAGATTTATCTGATCATTTGTGAATTAGATATCCAAGTAATTATTATAAAAATGAGTATTTTTAATTTGTGGGTTCTTTACAAAAGTGACTTGCACATTTCTTGTTTTTGAAACAAACAAGAAATTATCAGAATTAAACACTTATTTAAAATGAAAATGTGTAAATGCTGAGAATACTTCATTTTTTAGTTTAAACTGTATGGTTTCCAGTCCAGGGAGTTTATTTGGATTCGGAAATTACTTTTCTCCTTTATCTAAACTACAGTGTGTTTAAAGCAGAGTTACCCACAAAAATCAAGAATTTAATAACGACCTTAACTCTTTTGAATCTATGAGCGTAAACTTGGCGGTCAAGTTTATAGTTAAAATACATATATTGATTTTTGATCTCATACTGTTTTGTAACCCATTAGACACAAGCTTATCTAAAGATATATGAAATTTTGTATCATTTAAAATATGTTTGCATTATTATTTCACTGGGACACACAATTTAACTTTTTGTGATTAAGTTTCATAAAGACAAACTTTCCGTTTCATACTTAGCTTCCTTGCTTAAAATTTGTGCTAAATTCTGATGTTTGATATTACTATGAGCTTTCACAAATTGTGTATTTAAACCGTACCTTAGTAAAACAAATATATTTAGCACGCAGATTAGATTATTTTTTTATCACCAGAAAGCAATAGAAAATTAAACAAATATGTTGAGAAGGACAACACATAAACAAATATGTTGAGAAGGACAACATATAAACAAATATGTTGAGAGGGACAACACATAAACAAATATGTTGAGAAGGACAACATATAAACAAATATGTTGAAAGGGACAATATAAACAAAACTAAAGTTAGAACTTTTGAGTTTTGAATCAAGGGATCAATATTGATCTCTATCTTCTGCAGAAGATTTTATTCAATTCCTCTTCAATATCCCGTATTGGACAATGGTCATACATCCAGCAGGGATGACTTAAATTGAGGGATCAAGCATTTTCAAAGTACCTACATTAGATATCAAGATCAAGTGTTCAAGATTAAGGAGACTCACACAAAAGTTCCGATCTCTGACATAACAAGAAATTATAATAGTGGACATTTTTAATATTTAAACAGCGAGTTTTATGTAAAAAGTAAAGAAGAATATACAATTACAAATGGTTGTTAAATTAATAGTTAGAGAGGATGAGGATAATGTTTGAGAATATTCCTTTTGTTCACGAACATGAAAACCATCAGGATTTTGCTTGTCATATAATCCATCCTTATCATAATCATTATGCAAACCTTTCTGATCACTAATTTCATGATTTGTTTTGATCGATCTGACGGAAATATCAGGTCGATTATTTTCTTTTTCACTTGTTATATCTTGGTTGGGTTCAGTTAGCTCATTCGAGCTGTTAGCAACAAACACTTTATTAGATAGACTAGCATTTGATTCTATTATATTTTCAAAATTTAATTCATCGTCACTTTCTGAATTTAGTTTTAAATGATCTTCAAGAGTATAAATTGAAGAAGGGTTTTCAACAACTGGGTCGTGATTTGCATTTATCACAGTAAAACTATCATTTGATTTACTTATTGTTTCCTTTGATGCATTCTGTGCTTCACTTAATGACCTTGTTGATGCATACAATGTATCAACTGATGCAGATTTTGAATTTAATGGATCTATTATTTCAGAAGTGACAAATGAATCATTAGCTATAACAGCAGATACGTCTTGTTCATCTTGCTCATTGAACATCTCCTCCTCCATAAGCTCCCTCTGAAACAACAAATAAAATTGAAAAAATCTTTAACACTGTGCAAAAATCAAGATCAACCCATCTTTTACGGTTTACCTCAAATGTGTCTATATCATTAGTCTCTCCGCTGACACCATCAATCTGATTTGATAATAATTCAATCAGCTCCTGTTCCTCTTGTATATCTTTAAATATATCCAAGTCTTCATTTACTAATCTTGAATCAAAATCATCGTCAGTGTTGCTTTGTGTACTGCTTTGTAAACCAGATATTGGTGTACTTGTTTGTAAACCAGATATTGGTGTACTTGTTTGTAAACCAGATATTGGTGTACTTGTTTGTAAACCAGATATTGGTGTACTTGTTTGTAAACCAGATATTGGTGTACTTGTTTGTAAACCAAATATTAAGCCATCTATTTCTATACTGCTTGGAAAACCAGTTTCTTCTGTACTGCTAGATAAACCAGTTTCTTCTGTACTGCTTGATAAACCAGTTTCTTCTGTACTGCTTGATAAACCAGTTTCTTCTATACTGCTTGTTAACCCAGTTTCTTCTGTACTGCTTGATAAACCAGTTTTTTCTATACTGCTTGGTAAACCAGTTTCTTCTGTACTGCTTGATAAACCAGTTTCTTCTGTACTGCTTGATAAACCAGTTTCTTCTGTACTGCTTGGTAAACCAGTTTCTTCTGTACTGCTTGATAAACCAGTTTCTTCTGTACTGCTTGATAAACCAGTTTCTTCTGTACTGCTTGATAAACCAGTTTCTTCTGTACTGCTTGATAAACAAGTTTCTTCTGTACTGCTTGATAAACCAGTTTCTTCTGTACTGCTTGATAAACCAGTTTCTTCTATACTTCTTGATAAACCAGTTTCTTCTGTACTGCTCTGTTCATTAGATTGAGAGGAATTATTATCTACTGTCTTCATACACTCCTCCAGCATTTCCATTGTCACAATACCACGCGAAATACGCAGATAGAAAGCCTGAAAACATAAAGTAAATACTAATAGAAAGATTTTTACTCTACAGCATTGATTGTTTTTTTTTAAACAAAATTGCCTTTATATCCAGTATGTTTGCTTCAGCCATGTTATGAGTATCAAGTCTGGAGAAGCAAGGTTGAAGAATACTGTAAACAAGAGATTATACAGATTTTATGAAAGGGAGTGAATTTCTAGACATGGTAAAATTGAGCTCAAAGAGAACATCTTTATAGGATTCATTCGATACCAATTAGACATTTTTACGGTGTACAATTTTGACCAGTTGTGTCAGTCAGCAATTTCTCAACAACTTAGAAATCTTTTTTTATCCGAGCTTAAAACTTGAGAATGGGATATCCTTAATCCCGATGGGTTAATTAATCTGGAGATTAATAGCAAGAGAAGAACAATCAAGCATTATTGAATCTGGAGATTAAGAAAAGAGAGGGTTAAGCATTGATCTCGATATCCACCATTCAGGTCTGATCTGAAAATTTTTGAATTGTGGATATAACGGTTAGCGATTAATCTTTAGTTCATATCCAGATGTAAAAGCCAGAATTGGATACCATTAATCTGCAGATTAATTTAAGCTATATTCTATATCTACGTGTCGTCTGTGGAAAAAAGCCAATCAAAACCCAGGAAAATTTTACTTTTAACTTGCCGGAAGAGAGAAATTCAAGAGAACAAGGAAATTCTTAGTAAAATTCAAAAGTGCCTGTAATGTGGATACCCAACGTAAAAAGTCAAAGCTCTGACCAACACAGTAAAAATTGTATAAAGTATCTTTATATTCTATTCCTGGAGCACTGGGATATATTCTTTAGTCCAGAACAGATACTCTCCAACATTTCAGTCCTTTAAAGATCTTCATTTACAGATATTATTTATTTATTTATTTATTTATTTATTTATTCATTTTTTTAAACATAATTTTAAAAAACGTTGTAACTGCAATAAAGATCAATATATTACCCATGACTGAGGCGTGTAACTGCATTGTACACTTGGCTTGTGTACATGTGCGTACACTCACTGTACTCCGTCATAATATTCCCGGATTCTATGTCTGTACACTCAATCCTTTCCACCTGGTCCTTGTTGTCTTCATCTTGCACACTTGAAAAAAAGTTATTCCAAAGAAAGTCTTAAATTGGAAGATTTTTGTTAAATAAGTATCTTAACATTGTATGGTTCTTACATTAGATTTAATACAGAAAGGAATTGAGTCTTTGCCACAAACTCTGATTTTCTACTTCCTTCATCTTTGCAATACAATGTCACTGACCTTAGATATTTCAAATTATGAATTCTATTGTATCAAATAATTAAAGTTTGAAATGTCAAAGGTTTACACAACCAAGCTCAAAGATACAGGGATTAAAACCTTTAAGTGTGTGGCAATGACTCGATTTTTTTCACTTTAATATTTTCATAAAATAAAATATTTCTTTCTCAATAAAAAAGTAAAATTTTACTAATTTTAATTTACCCTTCATCGAAGTAATCGACCATATGAATTACACACAAGGCTCTTTCAAAATGTGCCTAAAAACTTACTGATATGAATTGTTTAATTAAGCCTTACTTGAAAACTTCTAAACTCTCACAATGTTCAGCCTGGTCCCCCCAATGCGCAATAAATGCGCGCGTAAACCCTACACGCAAACTGTTCAGCTCGTTGTCCCTGTAGCAGGTCACCCAGATCTCACCACATACAGATAGTATATCAGACAGTAAATTGCACAAAGAGCTTCTCTAAAAAATATAAAATTTACAAATCTGGAAAATTAATTAATTCAATTGCGGGTCAGGATTTTCGCGAGTATGTATGTATATATATAGATGATGCATATCTAGTATAAAGGACTAAAAAAGCAATAAACACGAAGCATCCGGATTAATAATTAAACTTTTCTAAACTGTAATGCAAAAAGGAGAGAAATTGAAAAGTAAATTGTAAATACATTTTTATTCAAAGATTGATCAGCTTTCTCTTGAATTATATTTAGTGTTTATCTTAACATTTCTTTTTGTTTACATTTATGTAAATATACTGTAAGAGTGCATATAGGGGGTATTTTCAACTAGAGGGAGTGAAAGCGTGTTTAACAGGGAATTATTCTTAAGAAAAAGTTCTAAGGGATTGTCAACATATTTTTAAAAGACCTTTCCGTTTCTTTGAATAACCTCGAGAAATTTTTTTTTCAAAATATCTACACGCAGAAAAGTATGTTCATTAAACCTACATAAAATGCTAAAATTGGTGTAGGTTTTTTAATGGGTCTGCGCAAGATGTTTTAGGGAACCATAGCTTGAATTTTCAAATTCATGAGAACGTGTTAAAACGTGGAAATTGGGAATCTTAAGTTTTTTCTGCTTTCACTGGTGTGTTAATTTTCATAAAAACCTCAAGCTCTGAATGAAATTAAAAGTAAGAAAGAAAGAAAAGCCATTTCAAAAATGTATATTACAGAAATTTTAGGACAGGTGCATATTTTAATTATAATATTCCTGAAACCTAGCTATAATATTCCTGCAGTGCATCTTTAGTTTTTCTAGGTCTATGCATGCTGCAACATTATGTTTAAACTGGCATGCTTAAATACCTGTGCATGGTATGTTGTTGTAAGATTGTTCCTGCATGATGAAAATTGATTCTGAATAAGAGTAAGCTTCTCTGGATCACAGGTTTGTGCACCCTAAATATTTTCAAATAAGATTATATAAAGTAATTAATATTATTCTTTTATTCGTTTAATCAAAAAAGTTTTTTAAAAAAATAAAACGAAAATACAAAAAAAATCAAATACCGGCAACGAATTTTGATTTGTATCTGCTATACCAAAATATCTCAGGGCAGGTTAAGAGAGATAACAGTCACAAATTAAACTTTTTTTTAGCAATTCTGATAAAAATGGAGAGCGTCAATCAAACATTGCTGAAAATGTACTTTTGATAATATAAATTTTCTCGATAAATATCCAGACTCGGTTGCCTTTAAAGTGTCTTGGTCTTAGATTTTACCTTAGTAACTCACTTATACTTTTTTTCTAGCCTTAGATGTGTACATTTTAGCTATATGTTTTGAGAAGTAATTTACTACGACATTGTGTTGAACAGATTAAAACGTTGGTAACAATCTATACAATACAACAAACAATGCATGGCATTATACATATCGGGCCAATTTGGAATAGCAGGGAAAATGAAGAAATAACATTTTCTGAGGGAACAACATGATTTTGATTTACCAAGGGTTTCTTAGACAAATTAGATTAAAAATTAAGATATTACCAATTGTATCGCAAATATGAATCAATTCGATTTTCCATACAAATTAATTTGTCACCCCTGTTCTTAGATCCGAACTTACTTGACCGCCTAGATTGAGGCTTAGAATGATCCATAGAATTAGTCCTGTCATGTTTAAATCTGTCTCATCAATAATTCATTTTTTTTTTACTGAAATTTTATGTACACGTTTAGTTAAAGGGATTGTAAGTGTAATTTCAAGTAATCCTCCACGCAAAGATACACAGTAAATGTTTTAAATGAATCCAATATAAAAAATGTTTGCTAATCAAACTTTTTGAAAACATTCATATTCTGTGCACAGCTCTAATAGTTTGAATTTTTAATGTTTTCTAGAATACTGTGATCACATTTTTAAACAAAATATTAAAAGAATGATAAATAGTTCGGAATGTTTCTAGTTTCTTGGATAAACAAAAAAATAACAAAATAATTTACAATTTTTATATAATTTATTCAATAATTCTGATGTGATCTCCCGATAAGGCGATTTTGAATAAAATATACAATCTTGAATTGTACAATGTAGCAATGCCCGATTTACAATGGTATCTTTAAGTTTTATCTGATCAAGTATGAGTTATAATCTTCATGTTTTTGTTTTTAAAAACTGTTTATTTTGTGCTGGCGCATTTCTTACTCATAAGAAAGTCTGAAGAAATCATTAGAATTTAACACTTTTTGAGTCAGAAAAACAAGGTTATCTTCTACATCTTTTATCAAGATATCAAGGGTACCGTTGTGAATCATGCATTGATATCTTTACATGAAGGGTCATTTAAAATTACACATTTAATGAATTCAAACTAAACGATTTTTTAAAAGTAATTATATCAAAGTTGCACTGAAATCTCATTTTATGCAGGTGTAAAATGTAAATTAATGTAATTATTAATCAGTTCTTAAAACTAGAAAACGACAATAGATCCCACATTTTGATCAGATAAATGTTTCAAGGGTACCGTTGTGATCGGGCATTGTCATCTTTGCATGGAGGGTCACTTGAAATTACGCAAACTAAAGTTACTTTTAAAGAGTAGTAAACCTTCCGCCACCATCGATAATTTACGCGAAACTAACTAGATGTATGTTATCACACCACTCTGAAAGTTGCATGGTCGCACTGTCCAGTCTGGACTACACAGTGTAGAGTCGACCCATGGCACGTTTTATGCAACAAATTTAGCCTGGTAAGATTACAGTGTAATTATTGGATGACATCGGAACAAGCTTAATCAAATTATTAATGGACTAGTTTCTTGAAATGATTTATATATTTAATGAATTTTTTGGCCTATCAAGTATTTTACTTTAAAACATTTACTTTTGCTGAACTGCACATAGTAAATACAAAGTTAAACTGGAGCAGAAATCTGGATGCACTTTGAACAGGAGGAATATTTCCCCTCCCTTCCCTTCTCCTCCCTTATCCTTCCTTCCCCTCCATTTCTATCTAGACTCCATCACATACTATAACTTTCTAACAGAATATAGATGTTAAGTTGATATTTAAAAAATTTGACCTGTCAATTTCTACTCATGGCAGACATAATGTTGGCACACACTGCACACTAACCTAACATATAAGAATGTGTACTGAGTAAATGACAGGGCAGACTAACTTTAATTCTTTTAACTTTCACCTTGTTTGGAAATATTATTGAGTAAAATTGTAGAATGAAATTAAGCGTACTTGTGAAGTTAATCATAATTATTATCATCGATGCCTCCATGTATGCAATGTACAGAGTGGTCGGTGCTAATTTCAATATAATGAAGACGACTTGTCTGTTTAAGTTTGGATTTCTAAAAAGATTAAAAGTTTACTTGTTATGTAACCCAAGGGAAGCTATTAATTGCTTCTCTTTGTTTCCATGTTATTTCCATATTCATGCTGTTTAAAAGCTTGATAGAGTTCCAAATTGAAATCGAAAGTCGTCTTCATTGTATTGATATATTCGACGACGACTGTATGTTAAAATATATAAAAGTGACAGCAGTGAGAAGCAGGAAAATGGCAAGATTTTCAGATAATAAAGGAATGGAAATCAATTATTTTTATTCGTTATTGACATTTCTTCATTCAAAGATGTGCAACCAAGGTTTTAATGCAAGGAAAGTTAATTGCAGTTCCGTATACTCTGCGTACATATTGAAACCAGTTCTCTCTGGGCGGAGTTTAAGAATAGACGCATCAGTGTCCGTTTAGTGTCCGGGGAGGTTAAAAGCATTAAATTTTGATAATTTTGATAATTCACATAATATTTTCCTATGACCAGAATATTTCATTGATTTTTTATGTAAAAGATGGATCCCATGTCAGGCTTCGACATCCGTCTTGTGTTTACATTACCGCCCAGAGACAGTACACTGCAGTACAAAAGATGCGTTCACCTCTGAAATAACTTTCCTTGCATTAAAACCTTATGTGCATCTATCTAATCTATATAAAAGGGTATGATTCCAAATCAAAAAATATATTATCAGTGTTTCGTGCCTTCAGTATTTACCAGAGGTGGGAAATGATTGTTTAATCTTCCTTCAGATCAATACTATTCTACTTCTAGGATTTAAAGGCAGGAATAAAGGAGGAGGGGAAGTAAAAAGGTGGAGCAGGGAGATACTACAGTGGTCAGCGTTTATATCAGTACAAAGAAGACGAATTTTCTATTTTAGTTTTGATTTCTAACAAGCTTTTTTCAAATTACAAGTTTACAAGTAAACAACGGGAAGTTGTTAATTGACAGCTTTTCTTTGTTTCCATGTTTATCTGTATCCATGCTTTTTGTAGAAATCAAAAATTAAAATCCAAAGTCATCTTCAATGCATTGATATGTGCGACGACGGCTGTCGAATGATTATTTCTGTACAAAAGCTGATAGTAAAGATTATTTTAAAAAAGAGCACCAACAGTTTTAGTTATGAGTTTTATTGTAAGAAGCTTCTATCTTATATAGATATATCTGGTGTATAAATATTAATTAATTCGATCAATCAAGACCGTTTTTGTGAACAATCTGAGATTAGAAAATAGTATTTGAAATTGTAGCGCTGGGTTAACGATTTCAAAAATATCAAATGTTAACTCCGTTAATATAATTGATATCGTTAACGAGCGTTAACTTTAACACGATCAAGATGTGGGGAGGTTTTTTTGTTTTGTTAGGAACCTAAAAACGATTTACACTCCAATGCTCATACTTCTTCACTTTTCAACTTCTAAGTTGTGAGAAAAAAATGCAAAAACGTAATTTTGTATGCATAGGTTAAACGGACGGTTAAACGGCTGGTAGCTGTTTAATTGAGCTACAGATCTGAAATATTTATTTTTAAGTCCGTGAAAAATTGATGTAGAACTAAAAAGCAAACACATGTAAATATGTGTCAGAAAAAAAATCCAACTTTTTCCGAGGGATATTTTGAATACTTTTTAAAACCACCTCATTATAACGCCCTAACCATTAAAGTTAGGGGTCTAATGTTTTTAATGAGCTGGCCTTGAAAAGTTGGATTAGGAACATTTATTATACTCCCTTATTTCAATTCCGAGGGCTAAATCTTAGGGGGGTAACACTCCCCCCCCCCCCATCTAAATTATATAAAAATAGCCCAATTTTGAATTAGGGTTAAGAAGAGCGGAAACAAATTAACGGAACGTACAGTTCTTTGCGAATAACGAACAGATACCTGAAAATTTGGTCCACAAATGTATTTTAACTAAATGTCTAAAAAAAATGTGAATATGTTCATCTCTACTCCATGATCGAGCTAATATTCTACATCTTTACTATAAATGACTCAATATGAGTGCACTTTGAGATAATCAGCATATGATATTTCTCGAATACCGTGCATGCAGGAAATGATTTTTAAATAAATTTTCCTTACATATATATATACCAGAATAGAATCAAGAATGAACCTCAATATGTTATTCTTTTTGTTCACTAACACGTTAAGTCTTTTGCAACATTCAATTTTCAGCTGAAAAAATAAGATTATCTACGTAATATTCAGCTGAAAAAATAAGACTACGCAATATTTTCTCGGAAAAAGGTTAAGAGAAGGTATAACCGTTGAAAAGCGGGTATACCCATAAATCAAGCTTTACCCTGGACGGTCTCAATTAAAGTGAATTGAGTCCCAAACCTGAGAAGCTTAATCATTATTTAAATATTTAACTTGTTTAAAGGAGATGTAAGCGTAATTTTAAAGTAACAGATAGTAAAAGATAGTAATGCCCAATTTACAACGGTACCCTTGAAACCCTGAAATATAATCGAAATGTGGAAGATATAGCGTCATTTATGTGATTATCTGATATATGAAACATTTAAAAATAGACAATTAAAAAATGCATATCTAATTCATATTTGATCAGACAAAGCTTTTAAGGTTACTGATCAGATAAATGCAGGTTCACTTGAATTTACACTTACAGTCCCTTTTAACACTAATGTCTAAACAAATATCTAGATCTTTGTGCTTTGTCATATCCCGGCCATATCTTATATTGTAGTTAGATATATTGTACACTAGTTAAAGCAAAGTTATAAATGTATAAATTTATTTATATTAGGATTGTAGGGCGCTTCGCGCCCACTTTCCTTTTAAATAATTTTAGCTTTTAACTGTTCCCCTGAAAGTTGGCCATTTAAAATCATTTTCAAAGGAATTGAGTTGTTGTCACAAACTCAAATTTTCTAATCTTTATATCTTTGCAACTTGACCGTGAAAACTCTAGATATTTTGAAGTTTGATTATTTGGTCTACCAGAATTTATAGTTCGAAATATTTAAGATACAAGACTTTGGGTTGCACAGATATAGGGATTAGAAAATCAGAGTTGGTGGCAAAGACTCAATTTCTTTTGGCGGCTTTTTCTTTTCGAAATTGCCATTCCCTAAAATAAATTCCTATTATTTTTCAGGAATTTTTTTCCAACTTTGATGTTCAAATAAACCTTTTCTGGGATCATGGGAGGTTCCACACAATCGGTTCAGCCGTTTTGAAGTTTATTAGATACAAACGGACAGACAGAAATGCAATATATATATAAATATATATATATATATAGATGCAATGTTCTAACGGGCTAAATATCCTGATCTGATGAATTACAGAATATCGATAAGAAGATGAGAAG